ATTATACTTTAGCTTGGGTTAAACAAATCAATTTTGCTTGGTTGGAACAGCAGCTACGCTAATTATGTCTTTATGTGTTTCTCTGTTTTTGACTAGGATTTACATAAGCTTCAGTCTGGATCCAGAACACCTGAGAAGAGATGATGCCAACCCCTCAGAGGACCTCAAATGATGCCAACCATGAAACAACATACAGAATAGGGCTGTGCGACATGGACAAAAAAAACCTATCGCGATTTCTTTGATCAACTTTGCGATTTCGATCTTAATCACGATTTTGACACACACAGACATGCTTTACAGTCATAAATGCATTCAGTGTGAATTAGACTCCTGGAGCACACTGCCGGACCGCAATCGCGTGCAGTGTGAACGCTCTGATCCGTTAACATGGGCACGGAACAAATACGCACCACAGACGGAGTGTGTGAACCTGGCGTTACGTTTGTATGCCCGCCCGGTCTGTTCTGTTCTCGTGCTCCATTTAGGCGCGCTGCATTCTGATTGGTTCGGATAGCATACTGCGGGAGGTCGGGGGCGCAGAAAATCGAGCTATAAAGCGATTTAGAAATAGCGCGCTCAAATCGCGATTTTATGACGATTTCGATTAATCGCACCTCCCTAATACAGCAAAAGAAAACCAATTAGAGCTTTATCAAAAAGCTGTAACATGTCTCTAGAACAGACATAAGGCAAAATAATCACTACGTAAAGGTGTAACAAAATGTCATATAGACATAGTGTCAATAGACATAGGCCTATGGCAGAAAAAAAAAAAAATCCTGTGTCCAAGGATTTTTTTTTGCCATGCATTGGTCATAGAGTTCTTTGTGGCCCATATGTACATTAACTGACAGTCACCACTGATAAGCTACTACTAAATATTGTAGAAACTTAATTTGCTGTAAAGTTGCTTTGCAATGATTTGTATCGTGAAAAGCGCTGTACAAATACACTTGAATTGAATTGAATTTCCTGATTCATGTTTATCATATACATTAACACATTCTATACATTATGAAAACTGGTAAAACCTTAAGAAGCTTCTCTCAAAAGCTAAACCAGAGAAATTCCTAATATTAATTTCAATAATTCAAAATTATTTTAACGTTTTTCTATTAAAACAACAAAAAAATCTTTGTGGCTGCTGAGTAAATTCACTTGTGCAACAATATAATCACAAAAAATTGAGGATGATGTCTGGATTTATTACAGCGTATTGCTGAGCAGGTTTTCTTGCAGATGATGTCGCAGCAAAAATCACAAGCGACGTTTTGAAGGAATTCAGACTGGTTGTATTGCACATTAGTTAGATGAAAATATCACAATGGAAATCGCTATATTCCAACCTACATGTTTGTCTGTGTTTTCAGATATTCCTTTTTTTTTTGCAGCAAAGGGAGAGCGCATGGTTGCCAGGTTGAAAAGATTGCATTATCATAAGAGAAAAGCTCTGATTGTGGGATTTAAACTGATGGCATACAGCAAACCCAAGCTTGAAAGTTTGTGGAGGATTGTTACCAACAGAAATGGCAAATGAAAAAAAAAAAAAGTTTTCAGCGTAAATAACCAGCTGGCCAATATCGCAGACGATTATGGTTAATTAATTGAAAGAATAAAAAAATACAAGAATAAAAAAAATGGTGATCTTGTTGTAAACACAATTAATTGTTCAACCCTATATAGTGATATCTGTTGATGACAGAGTCCGTCGTATAGAAGCACACATCAAAAATGAAAGAGATTTCTCAAAATGTTCACATGAATATTATATAATCAAGTACACTTGAAAATGTGCATTTGCTCCCATCCAACCTGACAGAGCTTGAGAGGTGAAGAGGTGAGGAGAAGAATGGCAGATAATTGCCAAATGATGATGATCAAAGCTTGTCGCGTCAAACAAAAAAGACTTGAGACTGTGAAGGTGCTTCAGCGATATATTTAGTTAATGAATACTTGAATACTGAATACTTATGCAATGTACTTATTTCATTTTTTTTTTTTAATAAATTTACGAAGTTGTGACAATTTTGTTTTTCTTTTGATTTTTTCTTTTTGCTTTTATATATATATATATATATATATATATATATATATATACACACACATAGTAAATAGTACTATAGTACTCACTATGACGTGACGTGACATGTGGCCAAGTATGGTGACCCATACTAGGAATTAGTGCTCTGCATTTAACCCATCCAAAGTGCACACACACAGCAGTGAACACACACACACACACTGTGAACACACACCCGGAGCAGTGGGCAGCCATTTTTTTGCTGCGGTGCCCGGGGAGCAGTTGGGGGTTCGGTGCCTTGCTCAAGGGCACCTCAGTCGTGGTATTGAAGGTGGGAGAGAGCGCTGTACATTCACTCCCCCCACCTACAATCCCTGCCGGTACGAGACTCGAACCTGCAACCTTTGGGTTACGAGTCCGACTCTCTAACCATTAGGCCACGACTTCCCCCCTATAGTAAAGTGAGCACATAAAGATGGTCTGATTGTGGCTTTGGATTGTAAATAGAGGCTGCAGGTTGATTGTGTGGCTCCTGTGCGACTGACACAATGTGTGTTTAAGTGCCACAGTGCACTGATTGAGTTTTGGTGCGGCAGCCATGACTGGGATCATAAGTGATTTACATGTGAGCAAGCACAACTTCAACCGGTGAATGTGTAAGGACACATTAATGTTACAAGGGCAGCCATAAGTACATGGTCGTGGTGTTTTCACCAAACGGTGGGCTAACTCTGTAACTTGAGCTCAGGGAAAAACAAATAATTCACCGAGCTAAAGAATCAGAGGGCTAATTTTTTTATAGCTTGTTTGTTTGGTCGGACGCCTCCGTCAAGCTGCTAAAATGACTGATGGCGTCTTGTATTACAGTAATGACTTTGCATGCAGTCTACAGCTGAAGCTTTTCAATTTAAACAAACACTGGAGCTGCTGTGTGCAAGTGTGTGTATAATCAGGGCTGAGAATAAGTGTTTAAGGAGAGCGAGAGGAAAGTAATTAAAACGGAGTGTGCTACTGGAAGCACAGGGCACTGGCCTGTGACCAAAGACTGTTAACTCAAAAACCTCACAGTAAATAGGGGTGGGATTACTGCGGTTTTACTAGGAGACATTTCCTTGCGAGGTGTGTGTATGCGAAAATGCACACAAGTATGATTTTGAGGGGTGGTGTGTGTTTGTTTATGTGTGTAAGAGTCAGTAATCAAAGACCAGTCACCAATCGGCTGTGTTTTTCATTCGGATCCCTTAAGCCTCTTTCAAGGAATATGAACTAAAATGGCTGCTGCCTCAGATGTGATTAGTAATTGCCGATCGCTCCCCCTCTTTAATCATCCACCCACTTTTCTCCTCCTTTTCTTTATTTCCACCCTGCCTGTCTGTCTTCACAGCACGTCATTTTATCCATCCCTGCACTTCTGTCACCAGCCTCTTGCTCTCAGAATGTAATGATGAGGCGCCCTGCGGGAGGAGGAGAGGTGATCTAACCCGACTCCCTCCCTCTGTTTCTCTGAAGTACCATCAGCAGCGGAGCGCCACAGACTCATGTGACACTGGAACAGAATAGAGGGCAGTGGAAATGCTTCCGGAAAAGCTGCGGTGCTTCAAGACGACGCACCACTGACCTTTTACAGTCAGCTCTTGCTCGCTTGTATTGTTCAACTATTTATCATCTGCTATTTTTGTAGTTTCCCACCTGCTCAGAGATGCTCCTTTATGAAAGTCTGTCTCAACTTCCTTCACTTTTTCACCTTTGATTTTTCTAGTTTTTCTCCACTTTAAGTCATTCCATCCATCTTGCTGCCTGTCATTATGCTTTCTTTTTTCCAGCTCTCTTTCTATTCCTCTGTTTTCTAACTCTAGTTTGACCTGTGGCTTTGTGTTCTTCAGGCTCTCACATTAAAACCTACTCTTACTGTATAATGGAGCTGTGAGCTAGAAGTTAGCAGCAGCAGGAACAAGCATACGTGACAGATAGTTCACTACTTCATTATATACACTATTGTTCAAAAGTTTGGGGCAGTAGTTTTTTTTTTTTAAAGAAATTAATACTTTTATTGAACAAGGATGTATTCAAATTCATCAAAAGTGACAGTAAGGACATTTAAAATGTTATAAAAGCTTATATTTAAAATTATAATAAAAAAGTGATGTTCACTTGATCTTTCTATTCATCAAAGAATCCTGAAAAAAGTATCAGTTTCCACAAAAATATTAAGCAGCATAACTGTTTTAAACACTGATAATAAGAATTAAAATGCATTTCAATACAAAACCAGTGTCGTATAAATGAACCAACCCACAATCCAGTTCAACTAAGCACTAAATGTGTTGAAATACCACTGTGGGTATTTAAAAAGAATAACAATAAATTAATTTAATGTAAACGTGTCGTTCACAAAAGCACTTCGTTTTAATGTTTTAATGTCATGCTACCAGCACAGAATTTTTTTTTAAAAGAAATGCTTGTGTTAATTTTCTTTATTTTGCAAAAGCACAATGTTTTGTTGATATTGTGAGTGTACACAAATAAAAGTAGACCCTTTACAGATTGAAATGCTGTATTACTCTTATATGTACGATCAAGTATGAAGGAGCATTTTAGTTCTTTTCGCTGTCAACATTCAAATCTGCAAAAGGTTCCGCCGCCAGAACTGTCGACCCCAGGGGGTTAATCACATGATGGAAAGGAACACTAGGTGCATGCTGTATAGTCGAGTACACTTTCAGTGTTTTAAAGCGCTGATTCAGGTGTCAGGATTGCTGTGATGGAGTGACATTGTACAGTCTCAGTAAAGTGTGCCAAATTGAGAAAGTCCAAGTGCTGCATCCTCCGTAAGCGAGCACTTAGATCCGATCCACAATATGTGCATTTGCCATGCAAACTGCTCATTTGTTTTGCAGCGTTTCCTGATTTGTGTAACTCTTTAGTGGATCTTTGCTAATATAACATTGGAGGCTCATGCAAATAAATGACTGCAAGCAGTGGGAATTGCCTCCTCAATGTTAATACACTAGTGTTAAAGATTAAAGGGCAGGAAGTAATACTCTAATCTACCTTATTGATCCAGGTCTCATATCCATCCGCGGTGGTGAGGAACAAATCTGTGAGAAAAGAAAGAGAGATAAAAAGAAAGAGATCATTAGCTATTTCACAAAATGACCAGACCTCCTTGCTTTGCCAGTGCGGTTCTGATTTAAGTAAGCTAGTACTGCATTGAGTGTCAGAGCCATCATCAACAGGTGGAAGTATAGATCCCTGTGACAGAAAGAGAAATGGACCAATGCCATCGTGCTGGCAGCAGCTGCTCCTCGTTCATCCTGCAACACAGTATTGCACAGTAAGAGACTTTGCCGGACCTTAAAAAACAAACGTGGAAGTGAGGAAGCAAGCAGCAATCTGATTATCACAACAAACCTTAGATGGAAGCATACTGACAAAAGCACAGTTGAACCAAGGAGATCGAATACATGTGTGAAACGATAACCCATAAGCTCAGTATATTGACATATTAAACAGAAGCCCAGCTGTGAAACTGAACCGGAGCTCAATATAAGCCGTGCATCACCTCCAGTTAGTCTTTGAAATGCTGACAATTTCAGATGTTCAATACATCGATGTTGTTCCCTACATCACCATTACGACTTGCGTGATTTCATCTGTTGTGTGTCCTTCCCTCAATAACTGAACACACCACACATATTATCAAGCATTCTCCTGACAGAGTCCGATACAGAGTTATTACACTGATTGGCACAGACGAGTGGTGTAATTTTCTCTTGCTGTGCATGTTCTTCTTTCTTTTGTGTGATGATGGCTTCGTTTTAGAGGCCTGGACGTTGTTATGGAGATGGAGCAAGCCCGGTGTTATTTTTGTAAGACTTGCACTACTTTCAAATGCAGCAGTGAGAGTGAGAAAATGCAAGAAGAAGAGACAGTCGTTTCATGGAAAACATTTCCTTTACTCTTTTAAAACAAACAAGTGTAACGTTTTATATGTAAATAAAAAGGTATGTCCGCACTGAAATCTAAATATTTGGGAAGCAATACTGTCACAGCCTATAAGCACATATTTGATGTTTAATTAATTTTTGATCCAATGAAATTTCAGTGTGGGCAGAGCTACATGGAAGATCACTTTTCAGACGTCTTAGTTCCCGAAAGTAATTTCCAATTCATTTTCCACATGGGAAAACCCATCAATAAATAGTTCTAATCCATGAAGAAAACCACCCACTCAAAAATGCACAACATTATGTAGATATCTGATTTGCAGAAAAAAAAAAAAAACACCAGTATACTGGTTAGTCAGTCAAAGGCTATACATACCAAGATGATTTATTCATAATACTATGAATGGGAGAAAAAACTGGTAAAGTCATCGCATCACTGCAGCTGTTGATAGAAGATCAGGTTCCCACAGAAACAATCAGTGTCCTGAGATGTGTGCTTGGTACTGCTCACGCGTGTTGGCTTTACCAACTTGAAAAACTCTTTAAAAACAACATTTACGGGACAGCTCATGTCACATTTTGTTGCTGATTTGAAATATGTTATTTAAATTTTGGCACTAGTGATTAACTAATTAAATCTGACATTTGAAACTGTCTGAAAGGACAGTTGAATCTTGCATGTTCGAAACAGCTGCGCGAAGGCACTGCAAATATGACTGCAGAGTGAACTGGCTTTCTTTGAAAAAGACTTTCAATCATAACAGAGGGTATTTGCATACATGTCTTCAAGATACTGTACACTCTAAAAAATGCTGGGTTGTTTCAACCAAACTTTGGGTCAAATATGGACAAACCCAACCGTTGGGTTACATTTTTACATTAAATTTTTAACCCAAAAGTTGGGTTAGTCCATATTTGACCCAAAGTTGGGTTGAAACAACCCAGCATTTTTTAGAGTGTAGCAAGAACAGCCTTTTTAGTTTTACAGGCCATAGAAAGCATGGAAATGGTCATGAAAAACTAAAAGAAAACTTGATTAAACTAATAAATATTATAAGTGGACCATAGATAAAAAAAAATGCTACAAAGGAGCAGAATCTGGCCCCTTAAAGGGATTGTTCACCACCAAAATGAAAACTCTGTTCTCATTAGGCCTGTCGCAATAATCAATATCGACTTATCGCACAATATATGTACATGACCTCAATCATTTTTGGTGATGCAATATATTGCCCATTATATTTACATAAAAAATTAATGTCACCATGTTTTTTTGCATTTCACTTGTGCCAGTGTCTTTTGCAGCTTCTCGTACATGACGTGGTGTAGTCATGAGGTGCTAGTTCAAATTTAAATAATGCTTCTACAAAAAAGTTTCATCTGCAGATATGGCCTTGTTTAGGGATCTGTGCCTTTGTGCATACGGACATCTGACTGTTAAGTAGGGATTGTGTTTTTCAGCAATAGTGTGCACCCTTAATTTACAGAGAAAAGAAGGTCAGGGAAAAATCTGTAGATGGAAAAAAGTTATTTGTGATTTTATTCTTTTTTCTACTTCTTACTTTGCACTTTTTGTTAAAAAATGTTTATTTACTATTTATTCAAGTTTTTAAGGCATCTAATATTTTGATACTTAATTTCCATTATCTAAATATTCTTAAGAATTAAAAGTTTGTTGTCATTTGAAAGTGTGTTGGCCTTCTTGCATTATTATGCTTTTTTATTATGATTATATATTCTGTGGCATAAAATGGTCTTAGAATGACAATAATATTGTTTATCGTAATTATTTCTGGGGCAATATATCACACAACAAAAAGTTGTTATCGTGACAGGCCTAGTTCTCATTTACTTACCCTCACATCATTCAAAACCTGTATGACTGAAAACAAAAGAACATATTTTGAGAAATGTCTCAATAGGGTTTTTTTGTTAATACAAATGGAAGTCAGTGGTTGGTTACACACATTCTTTAAAATCTTCTTTTGTGTTCTGCAGAAGAAGGAAAGTCGTGCAGGTTTGGAATGACATGACGGTGAGCAAATCATGACAATTTTAATTTTAGGGTGACCTATCCCTTTAAGAGGGGAAAAAA